AGTACATTAAACAAATATGTGTCAGATAGCATATTACTAATCTTCCCAATTTGAAGGTCTTGGGAGTATGATTTGGTTGGGACTTAAAAATAATGTTTCACTGGCATAACATGAAAGAGATCATTGGACTGTGGGTGCGCCTATACATCTTTATTTACCTCATATGTGGAAGTGGTTTTAAAAGCACTGGAGCAAGCAAATATAAGAAGAAAAAAAGACTAAATCCCATACCAGGTAGGCCATCCAAGAAGCTTTCCCACTGACCACGCACAATTCTTTCAAGTCAACCATTCCAGAACTAAGAAAGTTAGATTTTGTCAGCACATCAGATTGTTCTAAGAAGAAATTAGAAGATTCAAACAGAGAGCATAGAGAAAAAATAATTATTTGAAGGGTGGGGCAAAATGCACATGCCTGTTTGCCTAAATTCACTCTTTTATGTTAAATGGACAATTTTGCCCTAAGATAACTCTAATCAAATTTGTCTCTTTTGTAGTTGCAAGGATAAAATTGTCTATTTTTCATGAATGGGGTGAATATATAGCCTAGAAGGGATGTGAATATAGCCACACCCTTAGTTGAAAATTGAGAATTGATATCTTTTTTAGGAATATGACACAGATAACTAAAGATAGATAATGCACAACCAAATTGTTGCTTAATCAGGAGGTTTTCACATAAAACATCTCTACTCATTGGGATAGAGGGAAAGTCTGCATGCTTCTTGCCTTCTCCAGACCCTACTTCCAAGTGGGGTTAGATAGATCATGCACAAATAACAGCCCGAATCTCCCAGCTAGCATCGCAGTCCCTGAGTCCTACCAATCTGATGTTAATATATTGTTTTTTCAATCCTATATTATCTCTACTTTATGTCATTCACATGCCATATGCAATATTAAATGTTTTCATTAATTCTTTTGGAAAAGTAAAAAACTGATAGTGTGTGAGGCAACAGAGTGTAAAAACATAATTGGAGGAGTGCCAGATTTATTATTACTTAACACTCTACATAAGGTTTATTTAGCAAAACACGGAGCACCACAATAGCATTACTACCCCAAAGAAGCAATCTGTGAGTTAGACACTCATGGCAAGATAATATACACTATATTACAAACCAAAAGTGATGCATTAAAAAAGATAACTAGTGCTACAAGTCAGATAACATGAAATCCAAAGCAGGAACACACCTAGCAATGGTATCGGATAGTTGTTTTGAAATTACTGGAGCTGCCTCTGCAGGCCTGCCAGGCCGGACAAGAGAAGAACAAATTGGAGGCATGTGGAATTCAACAGCTGAAATCACAAGTTAAGTATTTATAAGAACAATTGTATTCCCGGGTCGTAACAATTGATGTCCAAAAAGTCGTATTCAATTCGTCCTAGAATTTAAGGAATCTCATTTCAAGCCCCAAAACATGACTATAATCTAGACATTTAGCATTGCTCTTATCACAACCACATCAACAGTACATGATAATTGCGGCATAAGTCAAAATAGGGTCGACCTATGGATCCCTCATCAGGAGATTCTGCAGTTGGAGTCATGACTTCCATCTTGATTGCAGCCAACATCGTCTGCACATTATGCATGATAACTAAGCAGAACAACCAAAATTTTCAGGGGGAGAAAAAATTACAATTTTTTACTTGAAACAAGCATACAGACATCACGAATTTAACTGCTAGAAGAAGAGTACTTACTGTGGAACCAATCTTTACCAGTGAAGATCCATCTGCAGATGCCACACTGCCTATATATCAAATTATTTAAAAAAAAACACATTCAATTAGACAGAAAATTCAAAAACATATCCAAGCAGTTCACAATAACATTATAACCAAGAGAGAAATTAGCCAACCAAGCACGACTGTTGTAGGTCTAGCTTCCCCAAGTGCTCGTCCATCAGGTCGTATAGATTCAGCTAGATAACGCTCGTGAAAACGCAAGGGGAAAAGGCGCCGGAATGCGTCCAGTTCCAGCTGTGATGATAAATCCTCAGAGCCATTGGCCGTTTCCATTCCCTTGTCACCGGCCTTCCGCTTCAAAATGCCCCCACTTAAAGCGCCGAAATTAACCTGGGCAGCGGCTGAGGACGGCGGCGCTTAGGGAAAGAGACGTTTGTTTGGTTAGGGATAGAAGAGCCGAAGAGGGAAGGCGAAGGGAGGGAAGAAAAATGGATTGTTAATTGTACCCAACATTTATACCCCAATTTGTACCCCGCAGGTTTGACTAATTTTTTTTAACTTTTTGTTAACGCACCAACGTTTGTGTCGGTGTAAACCATCAAAATGTTTGTGCATAACTGTGGGGTACAAATGGTGTACATTTTTTGGTGTAAATGTAGCATGGTCCATGAAAAATGCTTAAGGTACACCAAATGTGTACCCCATTTGTCCCCCACACCCTCTTTGTCCACAAAAAAAAGCAAGAAATTCAAAAAAATAAATAAATAAAATAAAATAAAAATGTGTGGTGGAAAAGGGGGTAGTATACATTTGGGGTACACTTTTGGTGTACCCCTAGCATTGCTCTAAAATTATACCTCATTTTGTACTCTCAAAGCATGCACGGACATTTTGCTAGTGTGATACTAGTGTAATGATTTATATTGATAAAAATGTCAGTGTAAGTTTTTTAATTGAACTAATATTTTGTGTCAGTTTGAACTGTTAAAATGTCAGTGAAACAATATATTTTATGGGAAAAATATTTTTCTCCCAAATGAGAGAAAAAAATTTTGTTTTTAATTTTGAAAGAAAATTTTCATTCCCTCTCCACCTAGTCCCTTAACTTCTTTATGGAAAACGTAAAGCACACAGAAAATAAGTGTTTTATGTGAAAATGTGAAGCATGTAACAAAAAAAGTTAATCTCATTAAATTGCCCTCGTCTTCATAGTTAAAGACAAGGATAAATAAAGCTACTTGAAAAACATAATAATGTCGATGTCACATAGGACAGTGTGCTACGATTCAAGAATATCATTATAGAAGAAACGGAGAATTCGTTGTAAGAGTTAAACTGAAAGATGCAAAATATTGTACTAAGCTTCAAAGTTACAAATTACAACTGAAATTTCAAATTAACTACTTTACTCTTCATGTTAAATGACTAAAATCTTTACACAATATGTGCATGTTGTGTACATTTTATAAATTCTCTAATATAGGGACTAATTATGATATGATTATTTGATCACATGGATAGTTTGACATTTTTAAAAGATTGATAACTATTTACCCATTTTTGAAACACCACAGGGACTCTATATGCATATAACTCTTATTATTATCATCATCATTATTATTAAGATAAGACATACTGCTTTCGTCACAATTTAAATCACTTGTTTCAGTTTACAATGTTTGACTAAAGTTACTTTTAGGCAGCATTCCGTTTAACTTATTTTTTTCTGCTTATTAATTATTCTTATTAAAATCAGATCAGATCAAATCAATCAGATCAGACCAAATCTAAACAAAATTAATAATATTATTTTATTATTATTAGTATTACTATTATTATTACTATTACTATTACTATTATTATCAGTATTATTATTACTATTACTATTACTATTACTATTATGATCATAATTATTGTTACTATTTTTATTATTATTACTACTACTATTACTAATAATAAAATTATTATTATTATTACCACAATTATTATTACTATTACTATTACTATTACATTTATTATTACTATTGTTATTTTTAATATTATTATGACCATTTTTATTACTATTACTATTATAATATTCTTATTATTATTATTAATATTATTATTATTAATATTACTATTACTATTATTACAATTACTATTACTACTATTATTATTATGACCATAATTATTATTAATATTTTTATTATAATAATTACTAAAATTATTATTACTCCTAATATTATTATTACTATTATTAATATTATTACTATTTTTATTAGTATTATTACTATAGTTATTATTGTTACTATTATTATTATTATTTCTATTATTTTTATTACTTTTATTTTCAATATTTATATTATTATTATTTCTATTATTATTAATATTGTTATTATTATAGTTATTATTATTATTATTATTATTATAACTATTATAATAAAAATTTAAATTTTAATCAAATTCAAATTAGACCATATCAAATCCAATCAAATCATAATAGACCAGATCAAATCAAATCAGGCGAATGAAATGTAACCTTAATACAACTTATTTGAGAATAGGAGCAAAAGTAAAAAATAAATTTACATATTATAAAGCTACATAAAAAACTCTAGAACATAAGAGGTGACTGACTATATTATTTTATCGAATGCTTAATGAAAATAGGGATGCAAGGTGAATGCAATTTGTCTCCGTAAATAGAAAACATTAGCCTGAATTTGAGACGGATGGAGTACTAAAATCCATCATGTCAACAAAGTTTGCCCCTACCAAGCTCAAATTACCCCTTGATATCTCTATAACTCTCCTTACCCCTACCAAGTTTTTGTAAAAGTATTTATTTTAAACACAAAATAAAAAAGCATTTCAAAGTTGTTTCTCAACTTCGGCTTCAGAATCTCTGCCAAAAACTAAAAATCAGATAACAAAGACAATGTCAAACATAACCAAATATGCTTTTAATCCACAAACACCAAAGATGAGAATCATGCCCCAAAAGCACACACAAGTCTAACACACTCTAAATACTACCTCCGTCCCACTCTTTTTGTCCAGTTTTGACTTTTGGAACTGTTCATCTAAGCACTTTGACTCATCAAATTCTCTCAATGTGTAAGTCTAAAAATAGTCATGTGTGATCTTGTTTGATTTGTCTTAACATATATATTATTAATATATAATTTTTATAATTTTTTAATATATAAATTACAAGATAAAATGGATTAAAGAAGTGCATTGGATGGTGTACAAAAATGAAAGTGGACAAAAAGAGTGGGACGGAGGGAGTAACTTGTTCCTGTTTGTTCTCACTCCCTGCAAGCTAAAAGCGCCACCGAATTTCATTCCTCCTTTGAGCAAATGTGAAAATTTACAGAGTAAAAATCATCAGTGAAAAAACACTGAAAACCATATATTCTGTCACAAATCACTGTGTACAAATGAAAACCCGAAGCTATAACGAAACAGCAATGCAGGACAAACCAAACTCTACAAAGAATTACAGAACACATCCTTTCCATGTGTCTTCGTTCTCGGATCAGATACCTTTGATGAGGTTCTACAACCAATCATTACACCAACTCCATTAGCAGTGGGTCGCCTGCCGCCATAACTTTGATGAGTTTTATAAACTCTTGCTCGCTTGACACGGCCCACGGGCGGACAGCTGGCGCTTCAGCAGAATAATATGTGGAGTTGTTGGGCCGGTTTTCCTTGTACACCATTGAGTTGAAGACCGGGTCAAAGTTCTTCGTCGAGTCCATTGCCATGAAGAACATGGGTATTGCAACCTTGTGATGGATGTCGAGTTCGCCCACTAGATTCACGAGGTCGACGAAGTCGGGTACGAAGGGTCGAGGAACATAGAAAACCTCGGATTCGCATAGCACGAGGGTGGTGTCAGTTTTCTGTGATGCTTTGTAGTTGACCTGAAAATGAACCTGCATTGTGTCCACTACTTTCTTTACCAGGTTGGCTTGCTTTGATATCCACTCAGAAGTACCAATGACTGAAGCATAGGTCCAAGATTTTGGCACCTGAATGGATCAGAAATGAAGCTATTTAAATCCCCAGATTAACAGATAGATTAAACCATCTGAAGAAAAGTTATTCACATTTAGCAGATGGATTAAACTTCAGATTACATGTACCTGGTTAGTAATCCAGAGCTTAGACTTGTCTGCTTGTAGCAAATTCCAATAGTTAAGAATGGTGTCATCCTGAAGAAACAGAAAGCCTTCTGCACTAGAGTATCTATCGAAGAATTTGGGCAGAAACCTGCAAAAAAGAAAAAGGAGACACTATAAAGAAACAAATACCAACTATTAAGAATGCAAAAAGGATCAACACATGTTTTTAGCTTGAAAAGGTCGAAAAAATCCAATCCTCTTTTCTATACGACTCACTTGTAAATGTAGTCCAGCTGCCCTTTTTCAACAGCAAGTTCTGAGTTCTGCTGCCCCGACAGTATAATTACTGTCTTAAATATCCTTCCATATAACAACCTCCATTCCAAAGCAGTGCGTTCAACAGGTCCGCTGCAGAACATTATTAACACGATATTGCCGAAATTCTTCCTCCACTTGATCAAGTTTCCAATTTCATAGTTCACAGTCCCAGTTTCCTCAACTCCAAGATGCACAGATGGCAACTTTTGAGGAACAAACTGTTTCCTATCACCGTGACCTATATTTGGCCTTGGCCGGTCTAATTCAAGAGACATCAGGCGGGGCTGTAGGTAACCGATGGCACACAAATCTTGCAGCCAAGCAGCAGTGAACTCCAAGTCTCTCTCTGCCCAAAAACCTTCCTCAGCCATGGCGTAACTCAACTCCAAAATCTTCTCAAATAGACCATTCTTGTTTGATCTCCATGATACTAGGAACTTTATTAACTTGCCCACATTCACATGAAGATCTTTCTCTTCTGAAAATGGGTAGGCCTCAACTCTATCGTGTCGGTAAATTGTGGGAGGATATACCACAACATATCCACCAATTTCCCATAAGATTCTTTGTGCCATATACCCTCTTAACACATCAGAAGCCATGCTACTGACAGAAACTGGCAGCATCAACCCCCAAAATGCCGACGAATGAAAAATAGTATTGAAAGAGTTAACAGGAACCATTATGCCTTGAGGCAATGCCACTTTCGGGGCATGATCATCGAACCTAATATCAAATGGTTCCAGTTTTGACTTCCTAGTGAAATAGAAAATCGAATCCACATCGGGTAAACCATTTGAGATTCCCTGCTGAATGAACTGTCTCCCACCAAAAACCTCAGTGTAGAACTCCTCATCCCCAATCTCACCAACATTCTCCAGGGGCAAACCTCTTGGCCAGACGGACCTTTGTCCAAAATGAATATAAGGGTTCACAACAGTCCTGTTGGGATTCTCATGACTGTATTGCAAAATGACTTCCTGCCTCGCACCCTCCCCAAACAATTCAACATCAAAATGTTTCCCAATATCATTATCAACTACGTCAGTGCGGTCATCAACATCAAATATCTTTTTAGCACCATGTTGTATAGCGAACAAATATCCAACAGTTTTTCTAACATAGGAATCATAAGGGAGAAAATCTACAACTCTAAATCCCAACTCAGCTTGCATTTCCAAAGACAGGTAAACTGTACCTTTAAGGCTCCAGTCTTTGGGGGTCTTCGAGTTGCCCACAGCCACCACTTGCCAACCTTTTATCCTTGCCAATTTCTCGAGTGAACCGGACGGGTAATGTGACACGGAGACAACAATCCACTTCTCAGACCTGAAATTGGCATAGGGAGAATGCTTATCTTGGATAGCAGGTATGTTCTTCCAGTTAATTTTAGGCAACTGGACTTTAATGGACTGGGTCTGGGCGGACTGGATACAGAGCAAGGTAGAAGTGACACCGCCGCCGGTGCGGAGGTAAAATAGGCCAGCTACCGTGACTGCGAGGAGGGAAAAGATGAGAATTTTATAGACATTCTCGGAAGCCCACATCCAAGAATCGATTTTCTTGGCTTCAGCAAAGCGCGTCCTGGGCAGTGGGGCAGCTTTACCTCCGACAAATTTCGACTCCCGGGGGGATTCCGGCGGCGAAGAGCTCCGATCTTGAACCAACATTTCAGGGTATTCGGCAAACCAACTCCGAGTCTTGGATTCCTTGATCCTCTACTTCGCCATTGACTTGAGTTGAGCCAGAATCCTTCCTCCCCCTTTTGTTTCTCTGTGTGTCAAAAACACGAACACCTGATGTGCGTGGGCGAGGAAAGTTGCCGACGGGTACGAATCAGTGATGTTGGTTGGTGGTGAAGATGCCAGCGAGGTTAAAGTGGGCTTGCTTACCTTACGCTTGAATCCAACTTCAGCACGCCCATTTGGTGCTGTTTTGGGAATGACGGTGCGATCTGAATCAGTGGGTATTTATAATTCATTTCTTCACTACTCAACTTGAATTCCCCTATTATTCTATGGTTGTGGCTCTACTATTGGGTTTTGTTAGGTTTATGAGAATACGAACTCAATAGTCTTTTTATGGGCGTACGAATTGACAAATTAACTACAAGTAACTACCAAAATTAATACTATTTGTCTCTATGTGTGTGTCCTGCATATACACAATTGTGTCTAAATATGTCGGTGGACGTTGCACATTTAGCAAGATAATGAGTACGTAACACCTGAGTTTGATTCCTGACAACTGTATTGAAAGATGATTATACTAAACATATGATCTTTGCAAATAGGAGATGCAGGCTCTATTTTTTTTTGCACTAATTTACAATTAAAACTTAATTTAACTCATCTCATGTGACTATCTGGGCGGTTTATATACTAGTTTTTTTTTAAATCGATAAATGTTCTTGTTTGATTTTTATAAAATCTAAGAAAAATAAAGTTATGCAGAAGAAAAAGAAAAATCATTCAAGAAATTTTTTAGAGAAAGAGGAAATTTATAGATGCAAGTTATGGAATAGGAGTACTTTGTACTCCGTAATAATTTAAGAGTGAGCCAAAAAATACAACACTGAAAAAAAAGAAAATTGAGGGGTAAAAAAACACTTAATAATACATACTCCTTCCCTCAAGTTGAGTTCAAGAAAGATTGTTAGAATATATTATCACCGTATTGCATACGATAGACAATTTTTTTGTGAGATTTTCTTTTAAAACGCTCTCACAATAGCAATCACCAAACCAAGCGCTCTTAAGAACTTTAACAATAAAGGAAAACAATATATAAAAACACCACGATCTCTATTGGTTCAATGTAATGTCTACATCCAGTCCCAATCAATCACCAAACCAAGCGCTTTTCAGAACTTTTACAAGCCTCTTATCTTTCCACCAATGACTTTTTCACCCTGACCCCCTAAATAGACATGAGGAATCATATGTTTCTATTTGCACAAATTGAATCTCGAAATACATATGAAGTAACACTTCACTTTGAAGGGAGGGAGTGGCATCAAGTGTGAAATGCCTCAAATTAACATTATATTGTTATAGTCTTATACATAACATTTATGAATGAATTTATAATAATTTTTGAATTAATAAATACACAAGAGGCAAAGAGGGATGAAACCCCAACACCAATTGCAGAAAATAATGTTCTTTACTCTGGGCCAGTTTCAAAACAAAGAAAGAAAGAAAAAAACATACTAGGCTCTCGATTGTTTCGAAGTCCCTCCATGGTCTCTCTCAACATGTTCAACAAGCTTCACAGCATCACGAAAACCTTTGCTGCACATTGGGCAGACATCAATGGTTATATTCATCACCCCATTCTTTTCATGAACCTTCTGTACATGTTCCACCAGAGCTTTACCAGTTGAGAATCTCAGATTGCATAGAGGGCATTTCTCTACTTTATGTTTGCTTTGGCCTCCTCCTCCATCTTTGTTGCCAATGTGGAGTGTTTGATTTAGATCATTGCTCAATTTCGCTATACCTGAAGTTGCAGCATTGAGCAAGCTTGTGGTCCATCTTGACGACGAGGAAGATGGGCCACTCTTGGGCTCATCTTTTTTACTAAAAAGCCCAATTAGTGGGAACGCAGGTTCGGGCTTCTTAGGCCCGGGACACTTGTGGTCAAGCCCAAGCCGGTGCTTCAAACAATGGTCAACCTCACAGTCCCGGCATTTGACTGTGTTTGAGAATGTGAGTACCTCTCTGCAACGAGGCACGGGACATTTCCTCTTTTTAGTGGCTTTTTCGTAGTTTGAGGGGTCACACTCTATGTTTACGTGCGACTCCCAAGTTATGTTCGGGTCTTCATTGGGTATCAAACGGACCCCTTTGGCACACAATGGGCAGATCACTACAGTGACATCGTGTTTGTTGCCCTTTGGGCACTGATGTCTAGCATAGCTACGATGCTCCAAGCAGAAGACCTGCCAGTTAAAGAATCATATGAACATCTGAATACAAAACTCACACTCCCAAAAGAAAAATAATCCAACCCATGCCAAAAGCCTTTAGAGACATTCATTCTCCAAAGTGCAATATGCTAAGGTGACATGAAAAATATGTTTTGTTCCATTTTCTCCATATCGACCGAATAAGCGCACACCTTGTTTCAAAGAATTTTAGCGGCATAGAACACAAAATTGCTTCATGAACAATCATTTACTCCCTTTGTCCCCAAAAAAGTTTTTATTTTCCATTGTATGTTTTCTTTTTAGGAAAGAACAATATGATCCATATTTATTTCTATCTAATCTGCATAATTTTCAATAGCACAACTTCAATATCTCAATGCCCGTGCCGGGTAAATATATGATGGTAAATATATGAAGGGATGGAGTATTTATCGAATAATTTAAGTTATTCTTGCATTTGAGATACACCTGGGAAGCTTAAAAGCTATCTTAATGGAGAAATCAAGATTTTGCAGCAACACCAGCAAGATCTTCATGTATGATCACATCAAACACCAACAAGATTAAGCTTTTAAATCTCAAACTCCCACAAAAAAACAACAAGAAAAATGGAAGAAAAAATAACAAGCAGTTGAAATTCAATTCATGAAAGAAAACCAGAATACCAATAAAAGTCAACACATTGAGAAAAAAACAGATATAGTTCAGAAACTTAAAACCAAGATGATTATAATGGACCAAAATTTGCCAGAAAACAAAATGTATAGAACAAATGGAACCTTTTGGCAGCAATCGCAGGTGAAGGGCAAGAAATCGATCTGCCGGCAATCCTTATCGGAGCAGTGCTTTCCCAGATTGGGAAATGCGGGTGTTCCCATTGTTTGTTCTTCCGAGAGATAAATATGTGGATTCTAACAACCTGGATTTCAGCCTGGAATGGAGGACGGATCTGCGAAATCCAAAGTTGTTATATCCCCGGAATCCGGAGAATTCCGCCTTCTCGGAAAAATCAGATAAAGACGGGAAAATTCACGCGGGATCCGTCGACTTCTTGAACAAACAGTCAATGGAAAGGAGAAGAGTCCTACATCTGCTGTTTCCAAAGGAAAAAGGGAAAAAACATTTGATTTTCCATTACCGGATGCCACATGCCCTATCCTTCGCGAAAACTGGCCAACCCGGACGAGGGTGAGTTACGTCTCGAACCGGTTACTATAATATTAGATAAATTTAATTAATAAAAATATTCAAATTTTTATTTTTTTTTTAACTTTTCCATCTAGTTCTTTATAAAAAAATCATATTATTTTTATTATTATTAAAAGTTATTATAGAATGTCTAATAAATACCTACTATATAAATAGTAAGAAGAGTGTAAGACAACACTCATATTTCCAAAAAAAAAAAAAAGTAAAGATTAGATAATGTGTTATGTTTACTTATTTTCATGATTTAAAAAAATGAAAAAATATAGCATAATAAATTATAATTCCTTCCAAAAAAATATAATTATTATTGTAAAGATGAGAAAATATTTTAAGTGCAGATTATTTATACTTTTCATAAGATAAAAATAAATAATAGTAATTGTTTTTAACTTTAAACTACTTTAAAAGTATATATAAATTAAATATATTATATAAACAGTGTTCTTTTTTATAGTCCGAAGTCTTTTAAAACTAGTATTTTAACTTGTGTCATGCACGGGTGGGACGAAATTGTTTTTCGATTGTATAATATCAAATACTCCGTCCGTCCCCCTAAGATCTTCTCGTTTTGACTTTTTGTGGTTTTTAAGGAGAGTTGAAAAAAATGAATGTTTACCAAAATACCCTTAATGAAAATGGGTGGTGTGTATTAAATAATGTGAAATAGGTGTAATAAATAAAGTAAGTGGGGGTAGTTGTGGTATTTTAAATGTTAAAAAAGGTAATGAGAAGATCTATGTGGGGCAAATAAAAAAGGCTAATGGGAAAATCTATGGGGGACGGAAGGAGTATTAAAACAACTTAATTTTTTATGTTATATAGCATTTAAATTTCATATATATATATATATATATATATATATATATATATATATATATATATATATATATATAGTCCTTTATTATCAAATAGTCCTTTATAATTCCTTTATAGTCCTATATATATATATAAATTCCATAATTAGTCCTTTATAACAGGCGGGTTTCCATATTTAGTCCTCTATTATCAAATATTACCTTCGTAGTCCTTTTTTTAAGGGTACCTTTCCACAAATGGTCCTTTTTTAGATCTTCTGCCGTGTTGGTGTTAATTTAAAGGCTAAAAGTATAATTTGACGTCAACATTATGTCTAGTGACGTGTTCTGATATTGGTTAAACGGATAACGCAAAAATAATGGCTATGATTGTGGGCTAGGATTCTGACAAAAGATCATATTTATAGACTATAGTTATTGTAAAAAGCGACTGTAATTCACAAACGACGCAAACACAACAGCCTTCGAAATTGTGCATGACAAAAAAGATATATTATCATTGTAAAATTATACTTTTAACCCTCAAATTAACACCAACATGATAGAAGATCAAAAAAGGACTATTTGTGGAAAGGTACTCATAAAAGAAGGACCACTTGGGTAATATTTGATAATAGAGGACTAAATAGGGAAACCCCTGTTATAAAGGACCAATTATAGAATTTACTCAAGATACTAATATATATATATATATACACACACACACACATACATATATATATATACATATATATATACATATATATATATATACATATATATATATATATACACATATATATATATATACATATATATATATATAGGTTCAGGTGAGAATGCGATTTTATGAAAGAAATAAGAATGAATTTGGTGCTTTAGATTGTGAGATCTAAGGGTCGAGATTGCCATCAAATTGCACCAAAATGGTTTAAAAATGCATCATGTCAAAGTGCATCAAAATCCTTTGAAAATGCACTATCTCAAAATCTGAGTGCAGGATGCAATCTAAGCCTCACGATGCATCCGATCCAAAGGCTAAATTTTATATATAGGATTACTAAATCTTTACAAATATATAATTTTTCTCCCTCTTAATTCAAAAAATATACTACAAAAACATTAGTGATTTTATTATTCTTCCCCCCGGCATCCTTTAATATAAAATTTGAGAGTTTGGACTCTAAGAAGCTGACATTTGGCAATACAAGAATTTGACATGTGGCAATATAATTGACATGCTATGTGGCGTAATATAGTGAAATGAATTTAAAGAATTCTTTCCAAATTTACTTCATCTTTGATTGGTATATTTTTATAACATTTAGGAAAATTAAATTTGGTTTTCCTTCTTAAATCGAAGTCTTTTTAAGAGGGAAAAATTCTGCTATGCCATCTCCTTAAATCCAAAGCTATTACAAGGTATGTTGGATCAAAATAAGTAATTGCCAATTTAAGTTGTAAGGTATTACGTATTCCATATACTTTTTTTGCTTTATTTTAGAGTCAATGAATTTTCCAAAAATTTAGAAAACGCTAAAAATTTTTTTGTAGTAAGTCCAAAAATTTTTGAATTTTGAAAAAGCCACAAGAATGTCATAGAGTCAATGAATTTTCCATTCCGAGTAATTTCTAATTTTGCATTTCTTCATTTGTACAATGTCAATGAAATAATTGAAAATAGACAAATAATGAGTCAATCGTTCATTTATAAAATGAAAATTGATAAATAATGAGTCAATCATAGAGTAGAAAATATTTTTCAAAAATAAAATAGAGTAGAAAATAGATAATGTGTAAAATTTAAAATTTAAAATTTAAAATTTAAATGATCTTATTTTGAGAGATTTAAATTTAAGATTTATTTAGTGACAAACGGGGGTGACTAACAACGAGAGTGGTTGACGGTGACAATGGTAGCCAGTGGTTCGATATCTCTTTTGGTTTCACCAAACACCAGGAAAGGGTTTGGATATCTAAAGATATCAAAACGCACATTTTGTTTGCTTACCAAACACACTTTTAGTAGTTTTGTAATAATTGAATAGAAAAATATGCATAATTAGAAAACAATTTATTAACAAAAGACCCGGAGGCAAAACCCGTATTTTTAAAATCAATTTATTTAAAAATTAGTATAAGAATAATTAATTTAATTTATACGTTAAAAAATTACGCCAAAAATTTTACAAAGCAAGAGGTTGGAATAATACAAAGTACTTTATTTTATTAAATTATAAAACAATATACAAATAAACAATAGAGTAAATTCCATAATTAGTCCTTTATAAAGGAGAATTTCTATGTTTAGTCCTCTATTATCAAATATTACTCCCGTAGCCCTTTTTTTAATGGTGTCTTTCCACAAATAGTCCTTTATTTGATCTTCTGTCATGTTGGTGTTAATTTAAAGGCTAAAAGTATAATTTGATAGTTAACATTATGTCTAGTGACGTGTTCTGATATTGGTTAAGCGGATAACACAAAAATAATAACTATGATTGTGGGCTAGGATTCTGACGAAAGACCACATTTGTAGACTATGTTTGTAATAGAAAGCGACTATAATTCACAAGCGATGCAAATGGAACAGCCTTTGGAATTGTGTATGACAAAAAAGATATATTATCATTGTTAAATTACACTTTTAGCTCTCAAATTAGCACTAACATGATAGAAGATCGAAAAAGGACATATTGTCGAAAGATATCTAAAAATGAAGAACTAGTAGGATAATATTTGATAATAGAAGACTAAATAGAGAAACCCCAATTATAAAGACTAATTATGAAATTTACTCTAAACAAAAATACCGAGAAATAGATATCAAAAAGATGGTAAAGAATTTTAAGAGGAAGGGACTATTTATTTACAATAATAATAACAAAATCCAGGTTTTCTCTTGCTCGCATAGGTTCTTCGTTGTCGAGTGCAGCATAAATGCATAATACCAGAGTAGATAAAGTCGCCCGTCATCCCTAAGAGAGCATTTCTGTCTTCACCACCACAACCGCCGCCCCCATGAATGCATCCACGGCTCTCAGGCTCGACTCATCCGCAGTCCACCCGGCGGCGATTCCTTCTCCGCGTCGGTATGTGGCTCGCAGCTGTAGGGTTCAGCTCAGGAAGATGGCCGTTCCTGCTTTTCCATCCGTCGTGTGCTCTGCCAAGCAAGCATCGGCTGTGGTGGCGGAGCCCGGTGGCGCAACCGAGCCTGGAACGAATCGAATCGAGTCGCTAAGTCAGGTCTCGGGCGTTCTGGGTTGCCAGTGGGGCGATGAAGGTAAAGGCAAACTCGTCGACGTTTTAGCCAAGCATTTTGACGTCGTTGCTCGCTGTCAGGTATATATATGTTACATCTAAATGTGATTGCTCTATTTGGTGTACTCGTAGTTTATAGCTCGTGCCTTGCTTATTGTGCTCTGATGTACTCTTTGAAATTGATGGTTCTGAGGAAAATATATGAAATCCAGTTGCGTATATATAATGCCCTAGCGTATTGGGGGGTTAAACAGGGAATTCAATTCAATTAAGTTATAGATGAGTGTTTATGGTCCATCGATTCTGAATTCTATCGGAAAACAAGGTTCTTTGATTTGCAAATTATTACATGTCATATCCTCTTACTACTAGTGTTCACTTGCTTTTAGGGAGGTGCTAATGCTGGGCACACCATTTACAATTCAGAGGGAAAGAAGTTTGCACTTCACTTGGTTCCTTCGGGGATTCTTAACAAGGAAACCATTTGTGTTATTGGTAATGGAGTAGTGGTGCATCTTCCCGGACTTTTTAAGGAGATTGATGGCCTTGAATCTAATGGCGTCTCATGTGAAGGAAGGATCTTGGTGTCTGATCGAGCTCATCTTTTATTTGATTTTCATCAAGAAGTTGATAAGCTTCGCGAGGCTGAACTAGCTAAATCTTTTATTGGCACCACGTGGAGAGGTATCGGCCCTTGTTATTCAAGCAAGGCAATAAGGAATGGCATAAGAGTATGTGACTTGAGGCACATGGACACTTTCCCCCAAAAGCTTGATCTTTTGCTATCAGATGCCGCATCGAGATTTCCTGGGTTTACCTATAGTCCTGAAATGCTCAAGAAGGAAGTTGAGCAATATAAAAGATTTGCTGAGAGGTTGGAACCCTTCATAACTGACACTGTTGATTTCATGGGTAAAACTATTTCTCAGAATAAGAAGGTTTTGGTGGAAGGTGGTCAGGCTACCATGTTGGACATTGATTTTGGAACATATCCCTTTGTGACTTCTTCAAGTCCGTCTGCAGGTGGAATTTGCACTGGTTTAGGCATTGCTCCTAGACTTGTTGGTGACCTTATAGGAGTGGTGAGTCAACTTTTCTGATTAACCTAATTCTATAATACTATATTTGTCTTGGAATAGATGCTCTGATGTTCCATTTGATTTTTTACATGGGTTTTAGAACAAATTTTTAGGGATACTTTAATTGAGGGAAGGGGTGGAGGTAAAGTGATTTTTGCACAGGTTTTAGGGTGTTAAGTCATTAATTATGGAAAATGAAGATTGAAGACTCAGAAGGTGATTTGCAAAAAGTTAGTATGGGCAAACATGTCCATTCCCTCACCCAAATTTACTAAAACAAGGAAAGTATAAAAAAGTTTGATTGCAACTTTAAAAAGAAAGTGGGACATCTAATAGAAGACAGATGGAGGATATTTAAATGAACCAAGATCATCACGTCCAAACATACTGGAAACTCTTAGCAATTTATTTTATTGATACATCAAGCAATCAAGCATAGTGTTATACTGTTGTCTTCATATTATCACACCGTGTAAACCTTCACACCAAGTTTAAAACTTTAGTACTTGTTCATAATAAACATTTAGAACTTGGGAAACATTTGGAAAGAAACTGCAATTAGGAATCAATTTGCATGGAACTTCTTCATGATGGCTCTTGTCGTCTTGTTCTTTGCTTATTAATTAAGGGGTTGTGAATTTTGATGAGATGACATCTTCAGGTTAAAGCGTACACCACAAGAGTTGGTTCCGGTCCTTTTCCAACAGAAACCTTTGGCAATGATGGTGACATGCTCCGATTTGTTGGCGGGGAATTTGGAACAACAACCGGCCGACCTCGTCGTTGTGGCTGGCTTGACATAGTTGCTTTGAAATATTGTTGCCAGATCAATGGTTTTTCCTCTCTGAACCTCACCAAACTTGACGTGTTGTCCGAGTTATCTGAAATTCAGATTGGTGTTTCTTACCGACTCCTTGATGGTACCCCAATCACATCATTTCCTTCAGATCTTAGGGTCCTTGACCAAGTTGTGGTAAGTATCTTCTCTTTGTTTGTTTCTGTTATTTTCCTATCCCATTTTTCCTGCGGTCATTGTTTCTAATTTTCCATGAATTTGTTATTCCGATGAGAGAGGATTTTCATCACTACATAAATAAATGGCCACGATGAGACGGTTACAGTGTTATTAGTTAAAATGATACAGAGTATAAAACTGTGAACTTTGGTGTAATCTCTATATTATGTCCTTTTTTCGTCCTCTAGCTTTTCAAGCTAAGTTGCACCAAAACAGGAAATTGGACATGGGGAAACACAAGTTTTCAAAAACTCCAATGTGGAGAAAACATGCAAATAAAAAAAATGCAGATTTTAGCAAATGATATTACGTATGTATGAAAATATGCGCAGAAGCACAAAAGTCATACTCCGTAATATTCACTTATGTAAACCGCTGTTTGCCAGTCCCAATTGTGTTTGGAAGAGTGGTGGACGAACCACTGTTTGGGTAAATGTGGTTTTGATGAGCCTGATTTATATTTGGGTTTTAATTTGCCAACCAGGTTTGATTGGTTTCCTACATATGTTTACAATCTTTTGTCTATACATATGAAAATTTATGTAAATAATTGTACAAAAATAAAAGCAACAGAAAAAGGAAAACAGAAGAGCAAGCAAAAGAACGTTGATATATCTTTTTCTTTGCTGCTCCAAAAGCTAGAAATTCTTTAATTCGGGTAACATCACCCTGACAAACTAAGTTGGCTTTATTACTTTTTCTTTATATCTGCCTCAATTTGCTGTATACTGTGTAGTTAGCTGTGTTTCTTTGGTGCAACTTGTAGGTGGACTACGAAGTTTTGCGAGGCTGGAAGTGTGACATATCGTCTGTCAGGAACTATTCTGATCTTCCCACGGCTGCACAACGATACATTGAGAGGATAGAGGAGCTTGTCGGCATACCCATCCATTACATTGGTGTTGGACCCAGACGAGATGCCCTTATCTACAAGTAATGAATTATTAAACTCCCATCTTTTTATCACTGGAAGTTAATTCTGTTTCCGTGGAGAGGACAGGACATGGCTTCCTTTGACACAGCTCTTTGTAAGTTGATGAGGTGCCAAACTTCTAGCAACACGACAATGTCTTCATGCATCTTTAGAGACTGGTCATTGATTTTAGGATCTTAGCATCTTCTATTTTGTTCAAGTTGTGACTTTATAAGATATTAGCGGGTGTTGCCGTTTGAAAACCTCTGTTTTCCTTAAATAAGAAGAAACAACTGAACTGATTTAGCAATTACTCTCTCTGCCTTACTTTGTCATATTTTTACTTTTGGTTCGTTCTAAAATGTTTGTTCCATGCAGTATTTAGTCATATGTGTCCCAGCTCTCAAAATTAGTGGGACAAAGGGAGCAAGTGCTCTAAATTTTGAAAGCATTACAAACAAACTGTACATGTAATGGGAGTTTGCCAATAGTGTTCTTTTTTAATGGGACCCAAAAATATGGCTTCTACTACATTACCAAGTAATGAAAGTTTTTTCATGATGCAAAAACAAAACAAAAAAAAAACATCATAGTCTTAGGTAGGTGAACAAAGATGGAACAAGGTCTACAACAGCCCAAGCAAGGCCAGTATACTGAACGAGCCGTATGCAGGTATCAACATCAAATGTTGTCTCCTGCTGTAGCTGTAACAAATTGGATACCTTCTGCTCACAATAAGAATACATACTTCCTCCTGCTGCTGCTCGAGGCTTCATCATTTTGTCTGACTTAATGGCAATGGTCATGCCGTTCAGTCCAGGGACATAGCTGGTTGATCTCACAGGGAGGCTCAAAGCATTGGCAAGCATAGGTAACATCCATTTCGCAACAGCCTTGCTGCACACCTTCACGAGGAGTATTGTAGGTATCCCTACAAGCATTCTGCCCACAAATGCAAGGATTGTTAGCTCAGGCGTAAAGATCCGTGGAACGTCTTCGTGGTGAAACTGATGGTATGTTTGCTGGATTCCCATTACCTGGCCAAAAAATAAACAATTAAACACAATTATTGGCAGCAAGTTCAAATACTTGGAAAGGAGAAGGATGCTTCATTGGAAGAAGGCAGTGAGACATGATTGTGCTTACAATTCCCAATGCAACGCCATTGAAAGCTGTATGATATTCAAAACTTGGCGTAGGCATCTCAGGCGTTGGATAAGCAAAGAGGAACAAGAAGCTCAGTGCTGCCCAAAAGGATGTAACTGCAGACAGATAAACCCCACTTGAGAAGAATACAAATTTAAAGATTGTTTTTTGAGGGGTTTGGAGAGTAAAGAGCAATAGAAAATTACACTAGAGTATGTTTCTACTCTATAACCACCATCCCCAATGTGCAAAGAAGTATGCCTCTTCTCTCACAGAGATATACATATTTCTGTCCTACAATCACTCCCATTCATCCCCTTGAGTTGGAACTTCAAATCCATTTACGGGTAGGCACTTAAACTTACTAGGGGCGGGCAGTAAACATACCGTTTTGTCCTGAAACAATGAAATGATCTATGTGATTGTGAACAGAAAGCCAAAAGGCCAGGATCGCAAGCCCGAAAACCAGACCTCCAATGATGTCAATCAAGCTGTGCATCCCAAGGTAAATCCTACCTAAACAAGAAAAGCAGGTCTGAGATGGCCACACCGAAAGCAATAGCAAATAACCGCATCAAAGGAATGAGACTCACCGAAGCCAATTAGTCCAACAAGCAAGCAAACAAGGGCAACTCCCGCTATTTCAAACGACAAATCTTCGTTTTGGGTGTGGGACGACACATAGTGCAAAAGGTATCTGAGTTTCCAAAGAAAGAACAATAGCACATCAAAAGACATACATTTATAGAAAAGCCAAAGATGGCATAAATCGTAACACTCTTTGATCTTTCGTTTTCCTCTTCTCCCCTTTTTGAACCCAAAAAAAGGGTTAGTCTCAAGAATTCGGCAACTCCATACCCGGACAAGCAAACAGTATTAAGAGTGTGCGAAGAAGGCAGTCCGTATTCCAATGCATTTTCTTTCTCGTCTTCAGTGGCTGTTATTCTCCTAACAGGGGGTGAGCTTGGCCTAGGGGCTGATACAACATCCTGCAGCAAACATGTTGGCATTCAATCACCCCAGAAGCATAATAAATAGTAAATGACATATACCAATAACACCATCCTCTGTATAATCCCAAGATTTATGCAAACTTACCCCCAGAAATAGGGAAGTGTTTTCATTAAAACCTTTATGCATTGGGGCATTTACAACCCAAAATTTTATACTCCATAGAAGGTAAGAACCAAATGAAGTATGACATGCCGCTTCAATTTAGTCGATAAAACATGAACTTCTCTCTTGGTTTGAGTGGTAGGTAGGAAGCTCACTTCCCAAGGTTCATGGGGAAGTTCACCCAGCGAAGACGAAGGCATTGGTTCATTATGTGTCATTAGGTTGATAAAAGTATAAACAGATACTACATCATTCTAATCGAATGAATATCACTCAAAAAAAACTTTATAGAGGAGAAAGAACAAACCTTTATACAATTCCCCATATAATCACAGAAAGCCATCAGAAGGGTCATTTGCCGAGCCAATTTAGAATGTCCAGTCTGCAGAACAAAACCACAAGTCCAAAACCATTCAGTTAATCATTACTTTCTTCCTCCCATGCTACTAAGAACAAAAAAGAAAATGCATAGAAAGGGGAGAGGTAAAGAAGATTACCCAGAAGAGGAAAGGAAGAAATGCAGTGTAGAAAGGCACAGAAACTATGCAAGAGAGCCCAGAAAAGAAGGCATCCAGATACCAGCTCTGATATTTCTACAGCACCCCCCAAAAAAAACAAGTCAATCTTACTTTCAACTGAATCAAAACAAGATTCCTTTTCAATTTGACTGTCCAGGATCAACTCAACCAAACATTCAAACTTTTGGTTGAACATTCATCGATGCTAAACATGGTGAATCGGGAGGAAGAAGGAAGGGGAGCAGAGGATCGAAACCTGGATCTTCAAAGAAACGGGGACGCCATTAATGACTTGGCGAGAAACCCAAGGCTGAATGAGAGATCTAATCGTTTGGGTCACATTAAGAATGGAAGAAATCACAACCCAGGAACCTAATCCGCCCAGAAACAGCCCTTGCCATCCTCCCGCGCTTTCCATTTTCTGCAACCTTTTCTTTCTTTCTTCTTCGTCGTCGTCTTCTTTCTTCTTCTTCTTCTTCTATTAAAAACAATTGCGGAGTAAAATTCGAGTCTTTTTTTCGAGGCAGGATCCATTATTTTGTGTGGGCCCGTGGTTGGGAAGAATTCGCTGGCTATGAAAAGTCCAGTCAGTCTATAGAAGAAATTGACCTCTTGAGAGGTTGACCATTTGCCAAAGGGGCAACCACACGGAAGAATAAAATTCCTTCATTGCATATTTCCTCCACCTAAAATTATTATTGTACTAATTTAATTTTATGGTTAGTTTAAACAAAAGTTAAGTATAATAGGTGTGGCTATTATGCAATGCATAATAGCCACACATTTTGTGGGGGACTTACGGTGGGATTGGGATCAAGTGCACAGGCGGGGGTAGGCCGTAGGGGTGGGGGGGTTTAAGGGGTGGATTAGGGGGGTAGGATCGGAACCATCAATTTTACGAACGGAGCACTGGAAGTGCTCTAAAATTACAGTGGCACCGCTAGTGTCACCAAAAGCCAGTGTCACTAGAATATATCCCACCGTTTATATATATATATATATATATAGTTCTCAATTCTAATAAATTTTATCCGTGATTCTTTATATTTGAGAATTATTTCATAATCATTCTTTTAAGGACTATATGTAAAAAAAATAAAACTTCGTACTTGGGTCAAACGACTAATTATGGAATATTTTTCAATCACAATTCACAAAGGATCACAAATGTAATTTTCAAGAATTGACAACTATGAGTGTGATTGGTTAAGGGGAAAATATAATCTTAGAATTATATTTTCCAAAGAAAAATAATTTCAAGAAAAATTATTTTCTAACCATATTTTTCATTGTTTGGTAGGAAAATATTTTCTTGAGAAATTACTCCCTTTTTCCCAAAAAACTTTTCATGCTTACTATTCAAGACTTCTGATAGTTTTAGTTTGTGTATGCTTTTTTAATGGCCATTTGATAAAATAAAATATTTTTATCACCACTTATTTTGTAGAACTTTTGATTTAATTTTAAAAATATAAGTTGTTCTTGTTATGTACATACCATTTTGTAAATAAAATCATTTTAAATTAGATGGTATATTACATGTTGTTCGAAATATATTTTTTTGGACAGAGAGAATAGTTTCTATTGTTAATATTTGAAAATTAAGATTAGAAAAATGATTTGAGACAATTAATACTCTGTAATATTTTAGTAACATGGAGGCAACGCATGATGGATGGGAGGTAAGGGCTTAGGCAGGTGGACAAAGTTCATAGATGAGTGGTGAGTGACGAAGGACGATGATGAAGATTGGGGATTGGTACGGGGGTGGTGGTGAAGGTGGATGGTTGGAAGCGGTGGAGGAATGAGGGTGAAGAGTGGGGGTGTCGAGGTGGGATTGACGAGAGTTATATTGTTTATGGGGGCAGGTAGGGGTGGAGGGGGTCATTGGCGGATGTAGTATGTAGGAGTTGGGGGCATATGCCCCCTACTAAATTTTTGTAATAAGGTAAAAATATTTTTTTTAAAAAAAAATTATGTTTATGTGCCCCCAACAAAAATTAGTGTGACCACATCTAATTAGGTTAATTTTAATTTTTTGTTTATTTTTTAGTAACATACTCCCTCCATCCTATATCTTTCTTTTCGGTTCGCAAAACGAAGAAAAATCTCAAGTTTTTTCAATCTATTTTATTTAAACATTGGTATAGAAATAAAAAATAAAACATACATATTTAAAAACTACATCAAAAGTTCAACAAAACAAGTAGGGACAAGAATATTTTATTTTATCATATAGGCCATGAAAAAAAACAAATAAATATAAATTCCCGTGAAGTTGGAATAATGCTCTGGGAAGAAAGTTTTAGGCCGGAGGGAGTATATTTTATTCCAAATAATGAATGGTTTATGAAATTAAAATTCACAATGTCTATTAAAAATATTTCACATTCAATAAATGTTTAAACTTAGATTCAATATTTTTTGGTCATTTCATATAACCTATTAAAAAATCGAGAGGCGCTGCCCCCGGCCCCCTGACCAATAGCGCCCACATCTAAGTGAAATCCTGAATCCGCCACTGGAGGGGGTAGAGGGCGGGGGTTAGAGTGGGATGGGAGGGAAAGGGGTGTGGGTGAACTGGGCTTGCGTAGAGGGAAGAGATAGAGCGAGAATGAGAACTTTCTTTTAAAAGTACAGAGAAAGTATTTCATCTTGACGAAAAGAAAATATTCTGCCTAAAAATAATTTCCTTCCACAGATATTACCAAAACACAGGAAAATAAAATTAATTTTTTTATGAAAAATATTTTTTCCCTAACAAAACAAACCCTATAAAGTACCCCCCACTTCAAATACACTCCTACTCTTGGTACTCTACTCTAGAGTCCTTGCCGTAAAAGAATCTTAAATTCACCAACAAAATACTCCTCTTTTTCCTATATCTTCTCTCTAGGGTTTCTCCAAGGCGACTCCGTACCTCATTCTTTCTCTAATTTCATGCAGAGTGCTTTGGCTCATCTCACTGTTTCATGTTTGATTTCGTACAAACCTTTCTTTGTCGTTGGATTTTCTTGAATATTCTTCGAGTACTTCATCTTACGTGTGCATCTGTTTGTTAATTTTGCATAATTTGCTGATTGTGTTCTCATGTACTCTCTGCTAGAGATTGTGATGCTTCTCTCTAATTAAATGCTTTTCTCAATTTCTCTGCAGATCAGATTCTTGAACTGGGAGACTCCGGCCTGCGTGTATTTAAGAAGAGATTTTTGAATTATGACTTTCTCATGGGCTGATTCAGTTGAGAATGCAGAATCTCACAATGCTGGGACTAGCAGTGGAAGCGGTGTTCCTGCCAAACAGGCTTATATACCGCCCCACCTTAGGAACAGACCGCCCCCGGCAAAAAATACACCACCTCCTGCACAGAGTGGTCTGTCATTGGCCAATGGCAGACCCGGCGTTGCAAGTGGTTCAAGGTGTTGTGATCCGAGGTCCGGTAGTGGAGGACAGAGTTATGGTCGTGGCGGGAGTGGCTGGAGTAGCAGAGGTGGTGGTTGGGGTAGGGAGCGCGAGGTGAACCCTTTCGGTAATGATGATGTTGATGGGGGTGAAGAGAATGGCATTTCACATGAAAATAATGGCATTGATTTTGATACGTATGAGGATATTCCCGTGGAAACAAGTGGGGATAATGTGCCGCCTCCTGTGAATACATTTGCTGAAATAGACTTGGGAGATGCCCTTAACTTGAATATTAAGAGATGCAGATATGTCAAGCCTACTCCTGTACAGCGCTACACGATCCCCATTTCTCTAGCAGGACGGGATTTGATGGCTTGTGCACAGACTGGATCTGGCAAGACGGCTGCATTTTGTTTTCCCATCATTAGTGGAATCATGAAGGGGAGTTTTCCACAGAGGCCACGCGGAGTGCGAACTGTTTTCCCACTCGCTCTAATTCTTTCACCTACGAGGGAGCTTTCAATGCAGGTGGGTAGGTTATTCGAAGGCCTCGTTTATACTCCATTCGTCCCAAAAAAACATTACTTGGTTTGAGTTTCACAGGATTTTAGAAAAATGTTGAAAAATGTATGGTTGGAATTTGTTTAGGTGAGAGAAATCATGTGAGCTACATGCTTATTTCTTTGAAAGTAAATAAAGTGAAAAGTGTTTTTTTGGGAAGTCCGAAAAGGAAATGTGTGAATGATTTTTGGGTCGGAGGGACTACAAGCTTTCTATTGTTGCTTGATTGCTTCCATGGTTCTTGTTTGGGAAATATTATGATTTCAACGATGGGTTTGTTGATTTACATTTACGACACAGATACATGAGGAAGCTAAGAAGTTCTCCTATCAAACTGGTGTAAGAGTGGTTGTTGCTTATGGTGGGGTCCCAATAAACCAACAGGTCAATAATCAATATCAACTTCTTTTAATATGGCTGGCTATCAACATGAACATTTGAGCAACTTATACAAATTATTGACTCAGATGTTTTAATATGACGGCTATGACATGTTGATTTGAACGATATTAATGTTTTCTGAGTTATTTGTCTTATATGTTGAAAATTTTCAGCTCAAAGAGCTAGAAAGAGGAGTTGATATTATTGTGGCAACTCCTGGAAGATTAGTTGATTTGCTTGAGAGAGGAAAAGTCTCCCTGCAGATGATAAGATATTTGGCTCTTGATGAGGCTGATCGTATGTTGGATATGGGGTTTGAGCCCCAAATTAGAAGAATAGTGGAGGAAACGGATATGCCACCGCCCGGTGAAAGGCAGACGATGCTTTTTAGCGCCACATTTCCAAGGGAGATTCAGGTTTTATTTTTAAATATTTCATGCTGTTTAGTTTGCCTTTTCAAAGTCACTGGTACTTAAGGTTTATTGCTTTAATTGACAGTTCTTTTCTTTCCTGTAAATCTGCTCTGAATATGATATGATGTGTCTGACAACATATGCTTTTGTTTTGGTTGGCATGAAGCGACTTGCATCCGATTTTCTCTCGAAGTATATATTTTTGACGGTTGGAAGGGTTGGTTCCAGCACTGATTTGATCGTTCAGAGAGTTGAACTTGTTCAAGATAATGATAAGAGGAGCCATTTGATGGATCTTCTTCATGCACAGCATGAAGATGGTGTTAATGGAAAGGTATTTGCAATGCGCTGATCCCACCATATTTCTTCTCTTTTGAAGGAAAACCGTAATTTCTGTCGTAATTCTGGTTATTTTCCTGAAAGTTATCATCTTTAAATCCCCCCTTCTAAAAAAAGAGCCATATTTCAGTAAGGTACACTACACCTTTTTAAGAATAGTCATGCTTTAGCAATCAGAGTACATGCTTATAAATGCAATTTAGATAAAAGGAAATCTCCTTCGTGTGTAGCCGGTATTTATCATTGTAGTCAATCTGGTTTTAAGCCTGATGATCTAATTTGTCTTGGACCGTTGGTTTGACTTGCAGCAACCTCTAACTTTGGTATTTGTGGAAACAAAAAGGGGAGCAGATGCATTAGAACATTGGTTGAGCATTAATGGATTTCCAGCAACTGCCATTCATGGTGACAGAACTCAGCAGGTAGGCAACCATTTGGCAACTTTTCCATGTTTTACTTTCTCAATCTCTCTAAGGCCTTGTTTGGTAACACTTTCACTCAGCATTTCGAATAGTTTTTTAATGGCTGCAAGTTAACTTTGAAAACGCAAAAGCTAAATGTTCTTATTAGATAGTCTTTTCAGAACGCCGGAGCTGATGTCAAATGGGCACTAAGTATAATAACAGTACTCTAGTACCATTTATTTTCTCATGCCTCTCAATTGTTACAATTGAACTTATGGGTGTCACAGGAGAGAGCCCAAGCATTAAGGGCATTTAAGAGAGGGGACGCCCCTATTTTGGTTGCGACTGACGTGGCATCCCGCGGTCTTGACATTCCCCACGTTGCTCACGTCATCAACTTTGACCTACCCAATGACATTGACGATTATGTGCACCGGATAGGAAGGACAGGCCGAGCTGGCAACACAGGATTAGCGACGGCTTTTTTCAACGAAGCAAACATGTCTTTGGCCAAACCCTTGGTTGATCTGATGCAAGAAGCTAAGCAAGAGGCCCCTGATTGGTTGATTCGCTTTGCTAATAGTTCGCATTGGGGAGGTAGAAGCAAGCGGTACGGTGGTGGCCGGTTCGGCGGCAGTGACTTTAGAAGGGGTTCTTCGTCTGGAAACCGTGGCGGTGGAAGTAACTATGGTGGCGGTTATGGTGGTGGGGGATATGGTCCTGGGAAAAGTTCTTGGGACTAATTTTCCCTTGGGAATTTTAGGTTTTCTTTGCCTATCAATGCAAAATGTGTGGGTTTCTTAGTTTTGTTCATTGATTGTGATCCTCTTCTTTAGGGTATAAGTAAGATTTTGTCATGCTTAGCTGAAAAACAACTAATCTCCAGGATTGAATAGCAAGAAATGTGTTTTTCTTCTTTCATACTACCTTTTCTTTTTGTTCGTCTCAATTTAAATTGCATGATTACTCTGTATGAATTTCAAACATATTACGCAGTACTCCTTATTTTATTACGGAGAAAAAATCATGTTCAACCAAACTAGACGAGTTAATTTGGGACAGAAGTTTGGTGTTTCTTGGATTTTAAAATTTAAACAAAGCTAGAAATCATCATTACTAACGATAATGAATTTCCTCTAAAGACTCAAATACAATAGCCTTGTTTGACGTTTATAAAAAGATTATTTAACGATAGCATTTAGCATTAATCTTTAAAAACTAATCTGTACAATTAGAACTTTATAAAAAAAGGCTAATGCTAATAAAAAATATTGTTCCCAAACAAGACCAATGTAATGAATGTACAACTCTAGGGTGGAACCGATACTGGCGACTTTCTTTCAGACTTTCCACTATTTTTGTCTGTCCAACAGTAAAATTTGAAGGAGAAAGTATTAAGATTCTATCAAGACCTCCATTAGGGATGTCTGTATTTGTATCTATTTACGAAGTTTAAACTTGTTTTCATTTGAAGAAGAGATTGTTAATATTTGATCATACACAAATACAAATATACTATTAAAGTACTTATTCAGTTTGATCTTTTCGAGTCTAACTGCATATATTTTAATTACTAATTAATAAATAAATATAATACATACTCTTCAGGCAAGATTTGGGGCGTGCAGCGCGGCAGAAGACTTGCAGCGGTGGGCGAGCCGCGAAATCTCCTTAGCATTGGTACGGCACGACGTATTTGCAATCGCTGCAAATGCCCTAACGGCCTAACGTCAATGAGAAATATTTCCGAGATAAAGAAACTTTTTTGTTCTGACTTCAGCAGAGAGTAGAATGCAGTCAACTACTTTGAGAAATATTTAATTTTCTCAAACTAAGTCGCCGACTTCCTTTGAAAAGTACTTTTTACTTTTTCACCTTCCCCTCTTAGATACTCTGGATATACTCGTTCAGTAGTGCTCTGTTTTATGTCGTGAGGTTGGGGAGGGTGGGCTCGCATCACTTTTGATTTTAAAGCAATAATCAAAGGTAATGTAGAACATACAATTTGATGGAACTAACTTTTATTATATGAGGAAAATTTATCTCAAATCCTAATACAATAACTTTCATATAAACGTCATATAGCTCTCATGTCAAAACATAAAGCTTGGCTATGATATATATTGTGTTAATCCAACTTAGTCAACAAAAAAGCTAATTAATCCTAGAATCCAAAATTTTATTCTTACTCAAACTCTAATATCATGGGTACTTCTAATTCTACTCGATAATTAACCATCATTCACTCCTTACTTTTCAAGTTAGATTCCGGGTGGTCTTTAACTCCAAGCATGCATTATTCACCTTGATTCTCTCAGGTTGTTCAAGATCCCTTGCAGTATTCTTTGGGTTCCACTTAGCTTGAACAAATACTTCCTTCTTGCAATCATAAAACGTCCTTCTATGGGCTAGAATCCTTTTAGGTTTCTCTATTAAGTTTGGACCTTTGAAAGATTCTGACTCGTATTTCGTATATCATCTTTCAGTTCCACTCTTTGTGTGATATCCTTCGAGAGTCTAATGGAAACAACCTCTCTACTATCGGGTAGGGGCAAGGTATGCGTACACACACCTTTCCCAGACCCTACTTCTGTAGGATCCAATTGGATTATTGTTGTTTGAGTTCTTTTTCTTTTAATGATGTAGCAGTTTAAATACTAGTATTATTTTCAAAACAAAAAAAAATCCTTTGTTATTTTTGTGAGGCACAACACTTGTTATTATTTTAGCGAATACAATGTTGTGTGAGATTATTTTTGTTTGATCGAGATAATTTGAATTATTAATGTTTTTTAAAAAATTAAGACTAATAAAAAATATTGCTCTCTCCTATTTTTAGAACATGGGTTACTGCAAATTAAGAAACGAGAAAAATTGTGTCATTAATAGTGATGTTAAAAAGTGTCAGATAAAGTAATAGTAATGTGATTTACACAAATATTATGGAGTAGGGAGTACTGAATATGATTTAAAACAAAAATAGTGAGAAAAAGATAAAAAAAATTAATAAAAAATGAAATTCCAAAAATATAGGAGTACTAATATTCATTTCAATACCTTTCTTTTTTTAACATTTTCCAACTTTTATTTTTTCCAACTTATTCAACTCTTTATTTCTTTCCAACTTCCATTTGTTTCAACTCATCCCAATTTTTTCAAACATCCAACTCAATTTTTCAAACTCAACTCAAAAGAACGTGCCCCCTCTAGTACATATATGTGACAAATGCAGTTAAGGTACCCGAAATGACAACAACGCAAGTTTAGGTACACGAAACACCAATTTGTCATGCAAATACCACACTCCAAACAACACGTATAAAATTCTATCATTTTTAAAATTATTTTTATTATAATTTGGTATAGAAATAAAAGATATATATTACACCATTCAAGAATACATCCAAAATTCCACGGTACAAGAGGTGACAAAAATATTTTATTTTATGAAATGATCAAAAAAATACACAAACAAACAAAAGTTATCAAAAAATTATAATAATGACAATGACATACATTTTGGGATGGAGGGAGTATAACATTATCACTCATACAAGTACACTCCAAAACAACACAAATCCAAATCACGCCCCAAAAGAAGAAATATTACTTGGAAAATCAAGCCAAATGTTCCATAAGAAAAACTGAATTGAATATTTATAAAAAAAAACCTTATAAACTTTACTACGACATTCTCTCAATCTTTCTTTCTGTTCAAATAGATTCTCAAGAAAAGAAAACAAGGAAAAATGATCCAATCAACTAAATCACGAAAAAAAAGGCCAAAATGTTCAGAGGAGCATTATTGTGTGGCATGATACAAACGCTCCAGCTTTCCATCACTCAATGTAGAATAGAAACTGCGATTTTTTTTTGTTTCATTCGTTTTTTTAAACGACCTCATTGAGGTTGGTTAACTATATCAGAGAACGAAAACTCGATGCCATTGGCAAACGGGTTGTATTCCTCTACAGGATTCTTCTCATCCCTGCCATGATTATGATCACAACAACCGTTCCCCAAATCTCTTGACAAATTCGAACTGAAATTCCCAACGGTGCCTTCTTTAACAGAGATAGGATCAGAGAAGGCGAAAAGAGAGAAGCCCGAATCTCCCAAATCTGTTTTCTTGTTACACTTCCCGTTTTGCCAAGTTGTTTCTTCGTGATGGTCATCTTTTACCACCCCACCTTGATACCAAGCCTTTGTATTGCTATTATTAGTATTATTCTCTTTCAGATCAACACCGTTGGCTTGAGATGCGGGCTGGAGCACGGTTAAATGGTGACCAGCAGGAGGGAGACTGGTAAACAACGGCTGAGGCATAGGCTGAAAGGCACTGTACTGTATAAACGGTGAGCCAACGTTCGTACCATATGGAAAAGGGCTTGTGAATACATAGTGGCTGGTGGGATGATGATATGGCATCGCCGGTGGGACTGCCCAGGAAACTGGACTCTGATAGTAGTAACCCATTGTTGAAGCTTGGAACATTGGAAAGTGAACGTTCTGGCTATTATGATGAACAGGAGGTACGGGTTGTGGTTGGATTCCCACAGCAACACTTGATCTTTCACCACCATGTGAAACCACAGAAGCAGAAGCAGATGTTATGCTACTTGATGGTAGTTTAGTAATGCTAACTGGACTTTCACTTTCAGTAGTTTGCTTTTTACTGGGTGTGTCTTCGTGACGTTCACCGAATCCGTTTTGAAGACATGCCGGTCTTTCTTCTGAATTTTGACTGGAATCTTCGGAGTCTGACATGGATGAAGATTCTGGGTTAAGAAGATTTGCAGATGACGCATTGCTGTCTCCCTCACTGAGACAGGACGAGCAATTATCAGAACTAGAAGGGCTGTTTGTTGATGATTCACCTTCCATATTTGATACTTCCTTCAGACACAGTGGGGACTTAACCTCGTCACTTTGGGAACTGTTTTCCGAATCAATACTAGAGTTTCTGGAATCTTTTTCACTCGTCTCTTCGTGACTGTTTTGAGCAGAAACCTCAGACATTTCATCAGAGCTGTTGGAAGGAGAAGACTTGAGGTGCTTATTCATTTCAACAGTTTCTGGACAAAATGTAGATGATCTTAATGTGGCTATTGGCTCCCATACTTTCTTGGTGGCAGGTAAATCCCTGTTAGAACGGTAACCACTCCCAGAACTGATTTTGTTTTTAGGGATGGCATAATTTTGCATAACATACTGTTTGGAAGTATCCGTTAAAGAACTTGACTTACTAGTTGGTTTAGCTTCCCAGATCCCTCTGGCCATGGAAGGTTGGTCTACCTTCACTCGGTAATCAGGGTGTTGGTTACAGCTGCACGAATGGAAGTCATATCTGTCATTCAGTCGATGATTAGGGCAATGACTGAACTTGGGCCCACCATTTCTTACATTACTTCTCAATTGCTTGTTTGATCTATCACAATGGCGCCTTACTTCATGTTGCCTAACCATGTCCCTATTCTCTGAAACAAATGGCCTCCTATCCGAGTATTTCAACCCCGAGTCAACATGAACGTCTTTCCAAAACATCTTTTTTTGGCGAGAGTATCTGAAATCATCATGCTGATAAGACTCACTTTCATCTTTCAAACTGACAAAATCGCCGTTAGTAGTATCATCAGTGCAAAGTGAAGTAATCGAAGGGCTGTGTCCATTTATAGGTACGTCGCCTTGATTGTTTTGAGACAAAGTCGGTGCAATGGCTTCCTCTGTCTCACTCCCAGAGTGCCTGCTGTCAATAACACTGGACTCTTCTTCATCCATGCAAGATGCCACTTCATCCTTTACAATCTCACAATGGTCCTGGTTCAAGCCAGAACTTTTTGTCTCTCTATCCTTTCCCTTCTCTCTTAATCTCTCCTTTCTACGAAGTTTTTTCTCCTTTTCTTTTAATCGTCTTCGCTCTTTCCGTTCCTCTTCTTCACGTTTTTCCTTCTCTTCTTCTTCAAGAAGCTTCATCTGTAGAAATGGAGCAAAGACCAGCTTATAGATGTCACCTTACTAAAGATTTGATAAAACATCAAAACATATAAGGGAGGACATGACATAATAGCCTTGCTTACAACTACTACATCTACACTATACCTGTTTCTCTAAAGTAATTATATCCTTGCATGCCACATGCACCTTTTCTTCCAGTAACTTCAATGCAAGACATACAAATATACTATGAGCATTTTGGCGTGCTGTTCCCTCTCTGAAGGCCTTTTCAACCTGTAAAAGAATGTGTTAGATAGTGTTGACAAATGTACACAGATCTAAGTGTCTTTACCAAAAAAGATCTCATGAGGGCCATTGGGTGGTTTTTGCAGATTAAGAGAAGTAACATGCCTGTTCTTTGAAAATTACAGTTGCAGCATCAAGAAGAAACTCCCGAGCAAGTTCAGGACTCTTTGCATGTTTTTGAGGACGGGTGCACTCGACATCAAGATCACTTCCGTCCTTGTCCATGGAATCATCATCCTGGAGGGGAAAAAATAATGCAAAACTTCAAAACTCAAAAGGAGCAGTGTCTTGCACAAATATATGGTTAGTTAGAGTCATAAACATGGCCATTACCTCCTCTTCCTCGGCCTCTTCAGCATGCTCAAAAAACCTTTTGATATTTTCCCCTCTCGATATTGTAACATAACCATCACCCACCACAAGCCTGCAATGTATACATTGTTGCCCCTTCATAGAGTGAGCTTTCACTGATATCTCAGAGCAACGGCCATCTGTTTTCCATGCCCTAAGAGTTATGTAGCATGCACTCAGCCCACTAAGGTCTAGACCATTCACTTCAACTCTTCCACTCAAACCAACATTTTCAAACTCCAAGATGTCTGATTTTCCTTCTCCAGTTCCAACTGCCCATTCGAAATGATGATATGTCCCAAAGCTGTCAATGAAGGTTTGATGCCAATCTACTTGGATTGTATCACATGAAACCTGAGAGTAATAAGAAAACATAACATCATGCCTCAGTATCATCATATGAGATGAAGGCACATTACACACTCATATCTCGGGTGCAGGAGGTTTGAATCAAATGGTAAATGTGCCTCTGTTGTGGGGGGGGGGGGGGGGGNTTAAAAGATTGTTTAAGTGCACCTCATATTGAAATGCTGTGTCTGCTACACAAAACCAGCTGTTGCAACGAGGTTCTCTCTTTATCCGCTTAAGTTCCTTTAGCTCCTTAAATTCACGTATAACATTCTTTCGGCAATCTCTACAGAACCTCTTGCTATCAAATCTGAATCAAGACACACAATGCAAGGAAAACTCAGAAGTTAGCATTGTTTTATACTACATGGAATTAATATGGGTTCATTAAGAGTCTACTAAAATAATACTATGTCATTCAGACAATAGGTTCACTTCCACTAATTAGAACAAATAGCCTAAGAGTCTGACTCCAGCGGGAAAAATTAAGTTTGGTTTATGTGCAAAATAGGTACTATAAAAAACATGAAATGACTACACAAAAGCGCATGATTCCTCATTTCAAGGAGTTGATGCAATCCGCACATATCCTATATCCTAGAATTCATTTTCACAAACCTACCCCACCCATCCATCTTTAGAGGTGTGAGGATATATTAGAGAGGGTTTCCTACCAAACGAGGAAATAATCAATTAAAAATGTTAGTGAAACAGATAAAACACACCTGTACATAAGCCTTTCGATAAAGTCCTCCTCCTTCATTCTTAGAAGAGAATGCCGAGTCTCTTCTCCAAGTGCAGACCAGAAATCTACCAAGGTATCAATAGAAAGTCTGGCAGTGTGAAGAGCACATGTTTCTCTTGTTCCATGAGCCCTTCCATAACCAGCCATTCCTTGACTTATCCAACCTCTACCACTTCCACCACATGCATCAGGATAAAGCAACTCCCGTTCACGTTCCCTTGCACGTGCACTGTCAAAAACCTGCTTCGGGGAAAATCATGAGATGAACATACAAGCACTAAAAGAAAGAAAAGAAAGAAAAAATAGTGGCACTTACATTTTGGAGTCCTTTCAAAGATTTTGTTAATGTATACGAGTCTAGTAAGGTGAGAACTCCATCCCTAGTTGTGGTTAGACCTCCCCAGGGGTGGACAGATGGATCGTGTGCATCATCTTCACCTTGACTTTTCAAGGTTCCTATACCAGCCCAAGCATGATGGACGCATGTTCCCTCCTGTTGCAATGACTTGCCGTACGTAACAATTTGCCAAAAACCTTCCAGCAATAGCCCATTGCATCTAGAGCAATACATATTCTTACGAGCATGCTCAAAAAGGGTTTGCTTATCAATTCTCAAAAGCTCCTGCCGGGCTTGGGGTGGAAGTTCACTCCAAAACTACAAGAAAAAAGAATCACCATAACTAACCAAATAAGTACTTCGTATCAAACTCAATTACACATCACAACACAAACTTAATTTTTGCTAACCACTTTGCTTACTCTACTACACCTATCAGCCAACATTGTATTGAGATACCATATTTATCAATCACCATTGTCCCACACTCCCACTTATCAGCTATTACCAGTTCAAGTCTGATAACGTATGAGTTCGTGATGTCCTACAGTCCTTGTACTCCCAAGAGAAAAGAGATCACTTAGAAGTTTCTGAAAAACGAACAATCAAGCAGACATACATCCTAAATTCGGAATTCGATCTCGGGAGTCAGATACACAGACCGTCCACTTTATATTCACACTGCCGATAAAAAATCACCTAGAAAACTAATCCGCGAGTGCCTACCACAATCGAGATCCAATAACAACAAGACGCCATTAACAAATCCAATTTACTCGTTAAAATCAACTACCTTCTGGAGCTGATTGTAGCTGACGTCGTCGCGATGCTTGGACCAGAATCCACTCCCGGATCCGTTGAACGACACCGCACCACCGTCGGGGAATCTCTGATCATTCTTCTGAGCTAATCCTGGCATTTCTTCGCTCTCAATAAAATCGCGCCACCAATCCTCTCACCATCCCCTTCACTTTTCGATCAAATTCACCAATTGAAAAACAATATTCGAACAAATTACAGATCGAATCATCAAAGTCTTATACGATTAAATAACAGACACTCAATCTGATTCGCCTGTGACTGGGATTGGGAATCTAAAGCGCAAATTATGATTGAAGAAAAAAGTCGAGAATTTAGAAGGAGGAGAAGAAGAAGAGATGAATCGTGAGGCGGAGATGGATATATAGAGGGGTTGGCGTTGATGAGATTTGATGCAGTAATTATGTGCGCATACGCATTTGTAAATCGTCTTTGGTTTACTTTAGAGAAAAGACCAAAGCACTATAGGCTTCATCATCCCCCTTGTGGCCTTGTCTCCGGCCTTAACAACTGTCCACAATTTTACCATTGCTTGAACAATAAGCCCATAGCCATTTTACCCATGGCTTGTAAATTGGTTTCTAGGGAGAATTGTTTTATGAGGAGTCCAACATGTCCACATTTTTATTGCATTATGTGCTCATGTCACCAAATATCAAATTCAAGTGATTGTATATTAGTATGTGTCATAGTGGTGTGATATCATGACACCAAAGTCCGAGATTCTAATTTTCAAGTCCAACAACGTATTCAAATGCTTATATCACTGCAATATCATAATATGATACCAAACACGAGTGCTCACACGTATGAATGTAATTAAATGCATATGATTCACGTAATTTTATTATGACTAAATTTATATAATCATCATCAATGATTGACAACTTTTTGTAGTTAGTATCTTACTTTTAGAAATATATTTTGAGTTTTGCAAAATTAGAACTATTTCCACAAAAAAATCATCTTTCAGACCAAATGTGTTGATTGTCAAATACGAGGGCATGATACTTATAACACCCCAACCCGCGTAATATTAATAAGCAGACTAACGAATCGAGTTGCTATTAAATTAATATCCAAACACAACTCATTTTCAAATAAAATAAAAATAAAATAAATACTTCAAACATCCATTGGAGTATTTAAAACAATGAGGAACCTCACGTCAGGACCGGGCCAATAGGGGGACAAACAGCCCCTCTAAACCAGGTCCAAGAATTTAAGGGGCCCAATTTATATATATATATATATATATATATATATATATATATATATATATATATATATATATATATATATATATATATATATATATATATATATATATATATAAATTGGAGACATCCGTGCTCATTTCTTATTTTTCGTTTATTATTTCTGTTTTTCTTTTTTTGATATTTTATATCTTTTTTTTCCTTTTCATATAAATTTTTTTAAAATTTATTTTCAATTTTTTATAATGTTTTAAAAATTTTTAAACTTTGTGTTTGAAATGAAAATAAAAAAATTAACATACATCACATCTATCTCAAATTAAACATTTTCACTTTTTGTTACTTAGAATAATTTTTGGAAAGTTTAAAAAGAAAATCCAGAATAAAAAAATAAAAAGATGGAAAAACAAAATAAGATAATTAAAATACACAAAAAGTCTTATACAAAAAAATAGACACGCCTAAAAAAGTCATTATAATTGAGATGTTCAAAAAGGATAATCATTTTTATTTTTGTTTTATTTTGTTTCTTATTTTATTCGTCATTTTCCTGAAGTTCTTAAAAAAAATTAATTTTTTTAGAAAAAATAAAAATTGTTAATTTGAGACGTACATATGCATTATGTGTTAATTTTTTCAAATAAAAACAACTTACATTTTAAGAATATTATAAAAATAATTTAAAAAAAATCTTTATTAATAAATGAAACAAATAAAATAAAAATAGAAAAAACAAAAAATAAGCGAGAAACAAAAATTAGCACTGGTACCCCTTATGGTTTAGAAAATATGCACCAATGCTCCTTCGTCGGAAAAATGGCCGGGAAATGATTAGAGAGGGCACGGGTGCAACGTTTTGAAGCGCATGTTTGGTTTGTGGCATTTGGGATGGCTTTTGGCTATTTTGACTCACTTTAGCGGAATTAACTGGTCCCAAAAAAAGGTGTTTGGTAGTTCACTGCAAGGGTTGGCTGGGCCTAAAAAGCCAAAAATTTAAAAAGCTATGGGGAGTAGCATTTTTATTTGGCTGTTGGAAAATAAATTTTTTTATTATTTGTTATTGTATGCAATTTTTATGAATAAATAAAAAATTATTATTTATTGCGTAATTAAATAAAAAAATTGGTATTCAAATAAATATATAAATAAAAAATCGATAAATAAATAAGTAAATAAAATAATAACTAAGAAAATAAATAAGTAAATAATATGTATATAAATAAAGAAATAAATAATAAATAGTCTTTCCCCATGTAAATTTCATGAAGCGATTTGCGAGAAAAAAAACTAATTTTTTTTAAGATTTTGGTGTAGAAATAAACAAATTATAAATTTAAGAATTACATCAAAAGCTTTTTGAAACAAAATATGATACTCCGTATAATTATATTATTCTATCAATTGATTGATAAAAACACATAAATAAATAAAATACATACTGACTTTAGAACAATATATAGCTTAAAAATTTATTTGAGCAAAGAAAGAATATACTCTATATTTCAAAGCATGTTATACCATATAATTATATAGGTGAAAATTTCATTAAATTAATTTCAATTTATAAAAGCTATTTCGAAGCAGCTAATTTGAAAATAGAGTAAAATCACAAATAAATTTGGAAAATGCTTGGTTTCATCAACAAAATGTTCACAAACTTCACAAATTCACTATTTGTAAACTTCAATAAATAAAATTAAATAGTCTAAAATAAATTTAAAATGAATATTTAAATCATTAATAGTAAGTTTGAGCATGTGAATATAAAACATTGCTCAATAAATTTTGAAATCAGAACGTGCCTATTTTGCAGAGTTCTGTCGCTATTTCGCCGTCCAAAAAATCGCAAATGGGGAAGAAGCCGAAGAGCTCTTGTCTTTTGCTAGAAATACGAACCGGCTCGAGAGCGCAGCGCGCGTATATTATGATCGTCAGCCCCGTCAATGTTTTCTCAATCCGAAACCATTTCAACCTAGTTCGCAGCAGGTCTATGCAACCTCTACATGCGTTAATCTGTGTTATAGCTTTTTGCGTCATTTGGATTTCAGATCTGATTGAATTCAGTTTTCTTTTCCGTTGCTTTCTTTCTGGATAGACATGCCTAATTTCAAATCAGTTTCCGATTTCCTGAAGGCTGTGCAGGAAGGGGAGACATACGTGCGAAATGCTGGGCATAGCAGGTACGTTGATTTGCTTGAATGGGAGCGTTCTCTTCTCGGGTTGGGGGAGATGAATTTGCTCAGGGATTTCGGGTTTCATGACAAGTTTGTGTCCAAATCTTTTGACTCGGGTTTCGAAGTTGCGTCGTATTCCTTAGCAAAACCGCAGGATGAATTGCCATGGGAGGAGGGATCCCTAAGCAGCAGCAAAACTTATGCCGAGGACTTCCTGATGGATCCGGTCTTGATGTTGAATGCGCGCCAGGCCGTAGTTTATGTTAGTGTGAGACCTAAAGATAGATGATGGTTTACGTAGGGAGCTGGTGGCAGCCTTACATGGTATAAGCCCTTTAGAGTTGACAGGAGTGTCCTTTACTTATGTTTGTGAGAGGTTGACCATGAAGACTGACCTAAGGCATATGTTTCTCAAAGGGTACCTCATGGCCCAGAGCTTCAATCTGGCAGTGACCTCTGGTAGGACCAAATACAAGTTCAATGCTCTTGCTGCCAAGATGTACCGAAACCCAAAGCCCAGCACTAAGTTGGCCAAGTTGATGAAGAACAGTTTGGTGGTGGACGTCGCTCACTTTACGAGAGAGCAAGTCTGGTTGATTGTGGAGATGTGCAATGAATACCCAGCTAAGAGGTTTGGTCCTGCAAACATCTACAACAATTTGAGCTTGGCAGCTGATGACCTGGTTCTGTTTTGCGACGATTGGTTCCAGCAGGGAGAAGATCCGGGCTATGGGAGTCCCGAGTTGATGTGGAACGATATTGTGAACATAGCTCTGAAGTTTGAGGCGCTGGACGATTTGGGGCATGTCGTTTCTTCTTTTCGTGGTGTGCCGGGCATATTGAGAAGCGTCAACAGATGGTCGGGCGAGGACAGTTTTCCCCTTGAATACCCACTCAGCTTTTCTATCAGTTTGGGTGTTAAGAGCACATATTCAATCACTCCTGCTGTGACCGGTTACGCTGATTATTTTGCAACCAGCAAGTGTTTGGTGGCTGACCTGCTCTTAAGCCAGATGATGGTTCTGAGCTTCTTTAATGTGATAGAAGATATAGGAGGGTTAGGGTCTCTATGCGTCCCAACGGGGAATGCTAAAACGGATGCCTTGTTCAACAGTGTTCTTCGGAATCACGGGTTGAGCAGCGAGGTGGATGGAGACAACTGCATCTATGAAGAGTGGAAGGCGATCCGAAAGTGTGATATTGTTAGGATTTTAAGCGCGTAAGATACCGAAAAATATTGAGAACACCAGAAAAATGAGAGAACAAACACAAGAAGAATATATGAGAGAAAAAATTATATTTCCACTATTTCAGGACAATATACAAAAAACTCTCCCCTGTTTACAAGACTAAATTTCAGATACTCATAAACAGATCTTTCACATCCTATGCCCCGATGTATTTTTCCGATTAACTAAAACCAGTTACTCCCTACACTCACCCACACTCACCAAGACCCCTTGGATTTTTCCCAGTGGTATTCTTGTGTAGAATTTCTCCCATGCTTCTCTCTCTACATTAGTGGTGTGTAAAACCCACACACACAAATACACGGTACCCTCTCCATTTTAAAGGGCAAGGATAATCACAATTATTTGCCCCAATCAATTTCCTACAGGAGAGAACCTAATCACATGCATACTTCCACCTTTTTAACTCCACTCATGGAGTACTTTTGCTTTCCCTTTGTCAGGATCCTTTTTTTTCTTTTTGATTTTTCTTTTCTTTCTTTTTTTCTCTTTTTCTTTTGATTAATTAATCAAATTTCCCAACAGATATGGTGGTGAGCTTTGGAGGCAAGCTGAAGGATGTCGCAGTGGGGATGACCGAGTACATGAGAGAAAGAGGGGGCGACTTCTTACGCCCCCAGCTCTTGTTTGCCTTGCCATTCTCCACCCGCCGGAACACGACCTGGGCAACCATCAGGGGCTGGAAGATCCCTGACTTTTATGAGGTGACTGGCAGAAGGGAACAAAGGGTGAAAAAGATGAGATTGATCAAGGCTTATGGTTGGGTTATGTGCATCAGTGACCAGCTCCCCAAACTGGGGTTGAATGGTCTGGGCACTATGGGGTTTGAAGACATGTTGACAACCAAAGAGATGGGCTTCATGGAGTTGGGTGCTGGGGGGTATGCTCTGTGTTTGCTTAGACACACAATAAAGTCTGAGATGAGAGTTGGGTTTGGGTCAAGTTCAGAGCACTTCTACACTACTGACTTCCCACTCACTAGATCCAGTGTAAAGTTTGATGGTGGAGAAGAGTCTGCTCTTGTTGTGGAGGAGAGCATTCTCATAAATCAGTTGGACTTTTAATTTACTATTTGAGAAGTGGTTCCTAATGGATTCTTGTTGTTTCTAACTAAATTATTCTGTTTTTTTTAACTTAGTAAATTATACGGAGTAATTTAAAATTTAGAAGAAAAAAATGATTAGTATCAGAATTGGATCGAGAATCGTCCGGGAGCCAGTCTGCATTGTCACTGATTAACGTACCCTTCGCCTGTACTGAGAATTGAAGAAAATCCTCTTGAGGTAACATGTCTTGTTTGGGAGATTAATATGTAGGACACGATTTTATTATGTGGCTTGAGTTATCATTTATCTAATTTATTGATCATTGACCTAATAAATACCCTACGTATTTATTTGGTAATTATTCGATGGACGTAATTACCCTTACGACCTATTTAGGGTTTCCCCTTGGGTGTATATATAAAGGTCATTAGGCAGAGATCAGAACACACCAAACTTACGCCTCATCTCTGCCTCTTTATTCTCGTGAGTCATCCTCACCTTAGCCATCATAACAATACACCCTAAACGGGAACTCGATCTTCATCAGTATCATGGCCTCATCCCTAACTACGTTTACAGGATTATCAGGTACACATGATTTAATTCCTAATTTATATCTTTTATGTTTAAGAATTGATCAACATGTGGTATTGGAGCATTATGTTGCTAAATCAATTCTTTTTATATTCCCTGAATTGTAATCGGAAATCATTCAGTGTGCAAATTCCTTTTGAATTGTTTTTTCCGATTTGGATCTATAATGATGTCTCCATAATAATCCACTTGTGGATTTACTTTCTCAGTACAAATTGGAATCACAATTGCTTTACTTCGATCAAAGTTAAAACAATTTTTTTGTGATTTGCTTTGAAAACAAATCAATATTATTTTTCTCCCTCTTTTCGATTAAAACAAACTAAAAATTGAATTGTTTTAATCTCACCGAAAAAAAAGTTTTGTTTATTTTTCAAATCTCAACTAACTGTTTCTTGATCCCCTAAAGTGAAATCAACCTTTTTTTATTATTATTTGGATTGCCCGGTAAATATAAACCTAATAAACCATCCATGTTCTTCATCCTTATTTTGATGAAATTATCTTATTTTAGTAGTTGATTTGGAATATAATTGTGTTTCCTTAAATTGTATGACATATCTCACTTTTGCATAATATATTCTGTTTCCTTATTTATTAATTTATTTTACTCAGAATAGCAAAACTAAGTAAGGGATATGCTAGAATACCATTTAAAAAAAAAAAAATTTACTTGTTGGAAAATCTCTTGCCTTATATGCCTTTTGATTTTCTAATTAAATTAATCTTAATGGGTCCCCAAAATTTTCATAGCCCCGCCCCGAATTGCTTTAACTTTTGCGGTTAATTAATTATTAACATTAAATTTATAAATCATTTGACTAATCTTAAATAAAATTTATTTTATGATTGGTTAAATTGATTTATTTTGCTTGACTTGAATAATACCGTAGAGTACACTTCTGCCCAAAGATGATGGGTAACATTTGTAAAATTTATTTCAAGTCTAATTAAGCATTGTCATTTAGTGCATATCCTTAAATAGATATTTGCATGACACTCGCCTTAAATACATAATATTTCACTTCTGTCCAAAGATGATGTGTTATAATTGTGCATGACACTCGCCTTAAATACATAATGCACATAAATATATATGTGCATTAAAATTTAAATGTTTCACTTCTGCCCAAAGGTGATGTGTAACATTCAAATTGCACATGATTACTTTATTATTCATTATACTTAAAATAAGTGGTCATAACCAAAGTAAAAGCCATTTGTTTAAGTAGAATTAAATTTAGTCTATTATTTTGGTGTTATAATAGACTCTTATCACAGCTTCATTACTATATAATGGTCCTTATCTTCGCCAGCCTTAGTTCATTACCCCTTAAGTTCTTCCTTACATATCTGTCTTATTTCTCTCATCTGAATCCACTATCAGCCCCAAATATGGGAATTGAAACCTTGAACGGTGCGAATTTTTCTTCATGGAAAGATTCACTGATGCTAACTCTTGGCATGTTGGATTTTGATTATGCACTGAGAGAGCCTGCCCCTCCTGCCCTCATTGATAAAAGTACTGCTGAAGATAAAATAGTACATGAGAGATGGGAGAGGTGCAACAGAATGGCTCTTATGCTCATTAAAAATTCCATCAGCATAATCATCAAGGGAGCTATTCCAGATTCATCTAATGCTAAAACATATCTGGCTTCCGTGGAGGAACAATTCAAAGCAACTTCTAAGGCACATGCTAGTACTCTTATTTTGAAGATGGTGACTACAAAATATGACGGGAATAGCGGCATTCGTGAGCACATCATGATGATGAACGACATGGCCCGTAAGCTCAAGGGATTAGACATGGAGATCAGTGAAGGTTT